TCTCTGTGCTTATTTCAATGTATTCAATGTAGATCAGCTATGTCTCTTGAACTTAGACATGTGGAGATGTCTTATTGGGCCCAGCAGCATGCTCCCTTCTCGTCACCCATGCCAAATGCTCCAGGGGTGTCCCCTGTTTGTGCTGCATGGCTGTTCTATTGTGGCAGGGCTGCTGTTGCTGTGGGTGTGCAGATAGGGAGGCCTGGCCCCATGTGGCTGCTACAGGCACATTATTGGGCAGAGCAATTCCCTGGCAAGGCTGGCTGTGAAGTCTAGTAGTGCACGACTACTGTACTTCTGCTGATAAGCAAGTCAGATCCCCAGTGTGGCTGGTTGCTAGGCCCAGGACCGCACGACTGCTGCAGGCCCCCAGTGTCGTTGGCTGCACAGCCCTATGACACTCAGCTGCCTCGGATACGTTGGTAGGCGGGGCAAGCTTCTGGTGCAAACTAGCTACCCATTCCTGTGGTGCACAGCTGCCTCAGGTGCACTGATGAGCAGGGCAGGCCCCAGGTGCGGCAGCGCTCAACAGTTTCAGGTGTTGGTAGGTGGGGCAGATCCCCTGTGTAGCTGTTTGCAAGGCCCAGTCGTGCAAGTCTGCTGCAGACTTGCTGAGGATGGGGTGTGTGTGCAGTCCCTGGGCAGGCTGCCTGCACTACCCAGCTGTGCTTGATTTCCTCAGGAGCTCTAGTGGGTGGGGCAGGCCCCTGCGCTAACAGGCTAGAAGAAGGATTCCAATGGTGTCTGCCAGAATTTATGTCAGCATGGGTGAACTAGGTTGCAAAAATGACTGCCTATGTCTTAGTCTCTTCCAGCCATGTCCTGTCTCTCTGGGATGTGCTCTGAGCTTAGTTAAGTGAGTCTCTTTTACCAATGTACTATGCACTTTTCTATCTGGTGTTTTTGTGCTGGTTTCCAGGTCGAGTGAGTCTGTTAGTGGGCCCTTTAAGAGCAGCTTTTCCTGTTCCTGAAGTTATATAGTTTTCCTGGGTGTATTCCCTGTTGGTTTTCAAAGCCAGGTGTTTTGAGGTCTCGTCTCTCTTGTGCTGGATCTAAGGGCTAGTGTGCCTAATGTGGAGCTTGAATGCCCCACTTCTCCAGGAAGAGCTCTGTACCTTTGAGATGGCTCCCGACTGTGAAGCGCCATGGCTAGGGTGTGGTTTTTCCCTCAGCAGGGCTGTATCTCTGCATCTTCCCCTCTCTGAGTTGTCCCTTGTGGAGGTTCTTTTTATCCAGTTTCCAGATCTCTCTCAGGGGAAAGTGTTCCACAGGTAGTTGTAGGTTTGTTGTGTCCATGGGAGGAGGTGAGCTCAGGGTCCTCCTCCTACACTGCCATCTTCCAAACTCCTCCTCTCCTTCAGGATTTAATTCATTGCTCAGGAAGTTGTTTTTTCTGGTTGCCACCGACTTGCTCCTCTTGACTTTTCTCCCCCAGGGCGGGAAGGAAAAGTTACACTTTTTATGTTTGTGCCTCACTCTTCCTTCTTCTGTGTCAGTAGTAACATTCACAAAAGATCCCTGGGATTTGGGGGCAGGTCCTGAAATACACAAAGCAGACTTTTGCCAAGTATTTTGTCTCACCAATAATTCTCTCATGAACATTACCTCTTTTTGAATATTTCATGCAGCTGTACCCCACTTTTTAGAGGAGGTATTTCTTTAACAATGTGCTGAAAGATTTACATTTAGAAAAGAATTATTTACAATGCATTAAGGGAGTTGCTATGTAAAGGAATTCTGGTATAAAATCTTTTGTAAAGCCATTAATCAATCCTTAAATTATATTTAGTGAAAATTGATATTTTTACACATTGTATTAGTTATCTTAAAATAATCCCCATATTCTCTATTAGTTAATATGTCCATTTTTAAGTCCTCTTTAAAAAGATTTTGTGTGTTCATTTCTTTTTATCAGAAGTTAGCAGTTACCCATCTCTTTGTGGCTTTTTGTGACCATTTGCCAAAACATTTCTGCTCTTAAGCAGTCTGCAAAAGTGCTCATTTGCTCTTTTTCCTAACACCCTATTCCAAGCCTTCTCTTGTTTCCATGGACATTTCTAACGGCATTTCTAACGTTAAGAAATGTGTTTCATATAATTTTAATCTACCTCCTCTGTTCTTTTTCTCTTTTATGTCATTTTACTCTTTTTAGTTTATCTTTTATTTAGTAACAAGAGATTAATTTTATACATCAGGATTTAAATATCCATGTTTTTTATCCAAATCATCCATTGTTTGTTTAATAAATCAATAAATGAATTGTATTGATTATATTTTTTTCCCAACCCCACCCCTAGCAAATAATTGGAAATAAATTAATTGATCTCTAGTTTTGGTCTTGCATTTTCAAAAGGTTATAGGAAAGCTGTAGAGAAGAAGAACCAAAATAGTTAAATGGATAATTATTGGTTTTTAAAAATTATATGTCTTCTTAAAATTATATGGTTCTTAAAAAGTATATGTCTTCTGTGAGGTCATAGGAAGCAAGAATAGTTTTATCACTTGTCAGAAAGTCAGTGTGAGGTATGTTAGGATAAGAAGTATCAATGATCTAAATACATAAAATTTCTAAAATATGGAATAGACTGAAAGGAAATTTCTGGATCCTTCATTTGTAGTTTAAGAGTTTTTTGGGTAATCTTTTTGGCGATGGATTCATTCATTATATGCAACTATTGTTTAGTATGTGGATATTCTGTGCTAGGCAATATGCTAACATTTAGTGAAACAGTCCTGGATAAAGAATATAATGGCTACAGCATTAGCTTTCCATTTACTATATATTATCTTTACAGTTTCCTATTTTGAGATTTTTTTCCCCCTTATGTTTTCTCTGTAAAGCAATGCATTAAAAAAGGTATATCCAAATTAATTTCAAGTTAGTCTTATAAAGAGAGTAATAGTGCAGTTGAAGTCAAAGTTATCTTGTTACGTTGAAAAATGACCTAGCAGGGCTGGCCCGTGGTGTAATGGTTAAGTTTGCGGGCTCCGCTTTGGCGGTCCAGAGTTTTTGGGTTCGGATCCCAGGCGTGGACCTACGCGCCACTCATCAAGCCATGCTGTGGCAGCATCTCACATACAAAATAGAAGAAGATTGGCATGGATGTTAGCTCAGGGCCAATCTTCCTCACCAAAAAAAAAAAAAAAGAAAGAAAGAAAAATGACCTAACAGTAAATGTAAAATTAAAACAAAGGTATGGGGAACAGTAGATGATGCTAGTGGGTGGTTAGATGAAGGAAAAGGGGGCTTATTGTTGAGGGCCTAGAAAATGAATGATGGGAAAAGAAAGCTATCGGATTGAATGAGAAAGTAAAGAATATCCAAGTAGTCCTTGTTTTTTTTTTATGGTTAGTGAGTTGGTTAAATTTAACAAATGCTGATTATTAACAAATTTAACAAAAGCGATATTGCAAATAAAAATATGATGAAGACATGGCCCCATGCCCTGAAACAAATCACAGCCCAATGAAAAATGTTACAACAAAGCTACTAATAATGTGCACTGTATAAAAAAGAGAATGACTTTGTTGGTGGGACTGGGTAGGTGGTCAGTGGAATAACCACTGAGTGCTAGTTGTTAAATGTTTTAAAGCAATCTATATCAGTTAGAATTCTCCAGAGAAATGTTTTAAAGCCATCTTAAGCATCTGACTTAAATATATTTTTAATGAATTGTTACTATTAGGCCAGAATCTTGAAAAGCCCTAAGTTAAAAATGAATTCAAACAAAATAAATCCTCTGAGGCAAAATTCAATTAGGCAGCCACATTATTCTTTTACTGCAAAGAAAAAAATATATATTTTTATATTGTTTATATTTTA